ACTGCATCTAAATGCCTTGATAATCTCTATTTTCTCAGGTTCAATACCTCTTGTGCTAGCTTGGGAAAAACCCTACATGATTAAATCCATTTTTCCCACATACCACATCTGAACCCATCCAACTGAATGTGTCTGGAGAAAAAGACAACCACACTGACTGACTGCACTTAAATTTGGTGAGTAGGACTTTTAAGGGGTACCTTAGGACTGCTAACAATTATATTTCCCTATTCTACTTTCTTTCTACTCTCCCTGTTTATCATTCATACATTCTCAGTATTGTCAACTGGATTCATAATGATTGTAAGCAGTAATTACTTTATCTACTCATGCTTGTATGGGTCAGGATCCTCCAGGTAGTTCTGCTGGACTTGCTTGGTGGCACTGATGTGTTGCGGCTATCTGGTGACTCAAATGGGGCTGGTTGCTCTAAGAAGACAATTGGTGCTTGCTACTAGATGATCCTCATGTCTCAGGCAAGCCAGCTTGGCCTTCTTCAAATGGTGGTGGGCAAGTTTCCAGAAACACGTTTTTTTTAAGTCACGACTTGCCTCATATTTGCTGCTGTGCTAGTGGCTAGAGCAATACATACCAAGCCCAGAGTCAGTGTGGGAAAAGAACAGCAGGGCCTGTTGCACTGGTAGCTATTACTAGAACAATCCCTACCTCCTTGAGCCTCTAACCATTCATACATGCTTCCAATTCTCATTCTCAACAGATCACTGTTTCCTATTTACTGAAAAAACAGAAACTTAAGAATTTCCACAGACACGTACTGCCATACTGCCCACACAACAGCATCTGGTGTGTCTGCTCTGCCTCCTCTCCTGTTACTAGATGAACTCTCCACACCTCTACCTAAGGCTAAATTCACCATTTGTGCCCTAGAGCCCATTCCTTCTAATCCACTCAAGGACCTTGCTTCTGTTTCTCATCTGGAGTTACTCATGCCAATGCCGTATTCTGGTAACTTCGATGGATTGTATGGTCTAAGATGGCCGCATCCTCTCTTTTGCATCATTTTCCCTCTCTTTATTAGATCATTCTCTTCAGAATAAAACCATGATATCTTTTATGTTACTGTAAAATATTCCTCCATTCTCTGGCTACTCATCCGTTTCTCTTCTCTCCACAGTTAAGCCCCTTGAAAGTGCCCTCCATACTCATGGTCTCCACTTCATTCCCCCCAACTTCCCTTAGATCCATGCTTATTGGGCTGTCTTGTCCACAACTCCACCAAAACAGATTTTGCCACTGTCTCCAATTTCCTCTGCGATGATCAATCTAAGGGTTAACTGGCAGCTCTCATCTTGCTTGAACACTTTCCTGAGCTGACCTTCAGGATTCTGAACTCACTTAGTTTTTGTTAAACCCCTCTGGCCTCTCCTTCTCAGTCCCCTGCCCCCTGAGAGTTCCTCAATTCCTGTTCATCATCTGCCTGACATCTTAGTGCTGGAATGCCCCAAGGTGCACTTCTTAAAGCTTTGCTCTCCATGGTGTACATGCACTCCTTTGGCAATCTCATCAATCTAATGGATTTTAAATGTCCTCTATGTGTTGATGATCCCAGTTTTGTATCTCCAGTCTAATCCCTTCCCTGAACTCCAGACCCACATATACAAATACCTATCTGAATGCCTAAGAGACATCATTTTATTTTCCTTTACACAAACTAGCCCATTTATTATAGGCTAGCAAAATTACAAATGGTGGAGCTTCGACTGGTCTTTCAGTTCCTTCAGTCCTCTAAGGGCAGATTTACTGTGAGGGCAGCAGCAGTGTTTTAATTCCAGGCACCACCAGCTACAGTTTTAAGGCAGGAACCACATGCCAGGTCCCGACAGCTCATTACTTGACTTTGTCACTGAAGGAGCATGTGTACTTGGCGTGTTGTCACCATTTCCCTGAGGGAGACACCACAACAGGTCCTGTATTTGCCAAAGACCTTGACCTTCCTGGTGTGTTTGGTCACGTTGCCACAAACAAGGTCAGAGTCACAGAGCCTAGTAGACATCTTAAGCCTAATGTGCCACACAGAACTTCTCACATTTCCCCCCAGACCATGAAGTCATCTGTAATCCCTTTCTTTCTCATATATGCACATGCAAATTATTAGTGTTATCTGACTCAAAATATCTTCCAGATCAGGTCTCTCCTCACAACCATCCATATCCACTTTGCCACAACCTCCCACCCAGGTTATTGAAATAGACTCTTAACTAATCTCTCTGCTGGTCCCCTCTAACCTATAGTCCATTTTGAACATTACAATTAGACTGAGCTTTTAAAAGTGTAAGTCAAATTATGTTACTCCTCTACTGTAGTGGCCCGCAGGGTTTTAGAATCAGTTGCGCGATGATACCTAAAAGGCATTTCAGAGACTGAGAGATGTTGTGGGGAAGAAATAGGGGAATATATTACAGTTAGAGCGAGTGGTATCGGACACAATGGACCTTCCCATGGTCAGGATCAACGGGGGAAAGGACAGCGCAGGAAGTGAAGGTCATGACTTAGAAAAAGGGGGAAGGGAATTCTAGGCAGGAGCAGAATTTGAGGTGTTTTAAGGAACAATTTGTGGAGCAATCTTTCAGGGACAGAAGTCATAGGATACAATTTACCATAGTGGGGAATATGGCAAATGCATGGGAAATGCCAGGTTTTGAATTATCACAAAACACCATCAAGCCCCAGGTCTGCCAGATGGCCAAATGAATACATGAAACAGTCTAGCTTGACAATGTGAACTTTTTTAAATGCATTTTCATTCCTGCATTTTATTCTTCTTACTGAATTACTTGCATTTTCTTTTTCACTCTAAATTCTGTACAGGTTTAAAAAACAGAAATTACTATGCCAGAATATTTTTCTGATTTTTATAGTTTCATCAAAAGCAGGATTCTGGCTAGTCGGATTGTTGATCTGCTATTATGTCTTTATCACACTACTCCCTGAATAGTTATTTATACCTCATCCACAGCTCCCAGATATTAAAATGAAAGGTCTTGAAACTTATGGGAAAGTTTGAAGGGAGCGATCTCTATATCTTGTGAAACAGACAAGGTCACTGCTTAGTCAACCTTTCTTACAAAGAGTTCAGTGATAACAGCCAAATTAGAGCTCTGGTCAACCGCAGCTGATGATGGGTTCTGTTGAAGGATGCCCTTGGCTAGACCTGAAAACAGTGTCCTGAGAAATGATTACACTTCTGCTTGATAAGCCAAAGATGTATTCATTAAACAATGATCAGGAAGGAGGAATAAAGATGCAAATATAGCCTCTTAATCCGTTCACATATTTGACCTCTTACTCTCAGCCATGACCGCTAGTGTATCTATCACACTCTCTCATGTGTGTGACTATCCCAGTACAGATTCAGACATACAGAGTCCTTGGATTATTGAGGTCCTTAGAAACTTAGAAAGTATATTCAAGTATGTACAATTTTTAAACAGACATGGAGACACGTAGAATGTTATTCATTCATTTATCAGGACTTCATGCTGATCAAGTACTGTGCTAGATACTGCGTTGAGCCCTCAAGATAGTCATACTTGAGTTGGAGAGACCAACATTCACATGTACATTTGAGTGCTATGCTAGAATTAAGTGCACACAGAGAAATGGAATCTTATCTTGACTTGGAAATGGTGGGTATCCTGGGAGCTTCCTTAGGCGCGATGATACCTAAAAGGAATTTCAGAAACTGATAGATGTTGTGGGGAAGAAACGGGAATATATTACAGTTAGAGAGAGTGGTATGGGCCACAATGGACCTTCCCATGGTCAGGATTAATGTAGGAAAGGACAGCACGGGGAGTAAAGAGAGAGAAAAGATACTAGACGAGAAGATCAGAAAAAGCTGCTAATTCAACTACAAAGTTTTAATCATATGTGAAAAACAAATGAAGGTCATTGCTGAAGTCTTTCATGAAGGGATTAAGATTTTTTCCCTTATGAACAAAAGCAAATATGGAAGATAAGGTAACCCCCCCCCCAGCCTGGATGAGGTTGGAGACCTGAGATTTACTGGAGACTGCTAGAGGCAAATGATGCAGACAGCCGTGAAGAAAGCAAGAGTGATTCTGAGAGATAATGGAGGCCAGCAACTCTAGTTCTTGATGAGCAGATATACAGTAAAGGAAAGAAAAGGATTGTGAATTTATAGCTTTGGGTAGAATTGGTGTCTTTGAGCATAAGGTCTTGGTATAAAGTGACATTATTGCTACAGAAAGGAAAGGCATGAGAAGGAACAGTGCTTTAGGAAAAGGTAGGGACTCTTCTCATGTTCTCAATGCCATGGAACATCTACGTGGAGCTGGAAGTAGAGTGAAATATGGCAATTATATATTTAGGTGACTAACTTTCCCACCTCAAACCCCCTGCTGCCTTCGAATATCCTGACTCCCTCTGGAAGGCTTCATCTGCATGATAGGAAAATAAAGACACTTGCCTTCTGGATGGTATGGAGGGTGGAAGGTGACTGGGAACTGGCAGAAAAACAGGGAGAGGACAGAGGAAAGGTAGTTCAGGGAGGAAACACAGCACCAACAGAAATAGAACACTAGTACCAAAAGAAAGAACAGAGGATCCAAGATGTGGAAAGGGGGAAATTAGCATCGCCAGACGGATGGTCCTGGATTTCCTAACAAATTTCCTGGCTAGACGCTTGGTAGCTTAGACTTCAAGACATCAGCAATGAGAAAACAGGAAAGGTGTGGGAATGGCCCAGGGCAGCTGAGCGCTGCACCCCTGGGCCCTCTGGATGGTTGGCACAGTCTCCCAGCCTGGCACAAACCACAAACCTCTTTTCTCACCTGGATGAGAGGCTGAATGCCCCCCCTCCCGACATCCAGACACCCTCAAAGCCAGAGGGGATTACGCTTGCATGCTACAATGGTCAGATCCCTGCCTTAATGTCCGGAAGGAGTTCACTGCTGGGAAAGGGAGCAGAGCTGAGCAGCCTTTTGGGGAATCTTTACAAGGGCAGACCTGTGCCTCACCTGTCAGCTGTAACTGTAACTGTAGCTGTAACTGCAGTGCCAGTTTGAACCATCAGTTGGTAATTGGATCTTCTCCGGTTCCCTCCACCTTTAAAAATAAATAGTTAAAGTAAAGTTTTTGAGTGGAGGAGGAGCATTATACAATTCATATTCCAAGAATATGATTTGAAAGCAGAATCCGGAAGAAGTAAGCATAAGTGGAAGCAGAGAGATCTAGGTAACAGCTGATTGGAATCTTCCAGTACCTCCAGTTGCTTTGTAAGGAGAAAAGCTTCTAGGAGTTCTGCTGATACAACTCTTCCCTGCAAAAATATGACAGCACTTGGGTGACTAGCATTGAAAAAAAATCACACCATATACTCTGAAAGGAAGCAAAATTTGCCACCCCAAAATAGTCTTCTTTGGCATATGAATTATCTTGAGCTGGTTATTTTTAAGAAACTGAAGACACAGGAAAATCTCTGCAAACCAAGTAGAAGTTATCCTCTCGTAAAAGACATTTATATTCATATGGGAAATCTCCAGTGGTGAAGATGTCTCCTCTCTGTACCAGGAAGAGAAAGATGGCCAAATCTCCAAAAACTCTTATGAAGGGAGAAGGCAGAAATTGAAATGTGCAAACAACTATACCCTTGCTAACTGCTTTGCCTGGTAATCCACCCTAACTGTCCTTCTCCCTCGTCTTTTGTCTTTAGCTGAAGATGGTATTTAAGGTGGGGTCATTTCAGTGAGTAAGTTGGTTTTCCTGACTCTCTCCCTGGTATGCAGGAACATGTTTTAAACTCCTGTTTGGTCTTCTCCTCCCAATCTGTCTTTTGTTACAGGGAGGTCTCTGTGGAGGATCTAGAAGGATAGAGGGAAAATTATGTTCTTCCCCTACAACTCCTTCAAAGGGAACCTAGCCATCACTCTTGAAGAAGCAGGAAAAGATCCAGAAGTATTTTTTTCTTTAGAGAAATACAGAAGCAAATAGAAATACAGCTTGTGGTAATGACTATTTTTACCCAATTACACATGCATTACTAAGTGTCACAAATCCCATGAGCTAGAAGGTGTGATTTTCTGAGTCGACTGCGGTGTTGAAATGAGAGGAATTGCTCCATGTTGATAACACTGTTGGATGTTGCTAATGTAATTACAGTTTCCCACACTGATCTCAAAAATTAAGATTCTTGTATTTTCGATTTTCCTTTCCATTTTGGGAGGATAATAATAATAATAAAAAAGTACAAACTTGCTTGTTTGACTTTACACCCAGTTTTCATGACATTTTTATTGTGTCTTATATTGAGTGGGTTGACTTTTTTTTCAACTTGTTTTGGAAAATGTCATTTACACAGAGAGATTGAATGGACTTAATTTGTTTAGTCTCCCAAAGTGATGCTTCTAAGTGGGCCATAATAATTCAGTAAATATATCGTGTAAAGGGGGATGATATGAATAACTGAAAGAATTATTCATCGTGTATGGGGAACAAAAATGGATAAAAGGAAGTTAGTTAACAAATAGGACTGAGATGTTAGAATAAAGACAGACACAAGGTATTCATATTAGCTGTCCCATAAAAACACAATGTTAATTTAGAGAATTTCTTTGTGTCTTTAGGGCTTTGTTATTGTTATCCTGGTTGCTATTTAAGTATATCCAGGAGTGGCACAACATAATTAATGTAAATTTCTCCTCAATGCTTCTCTGAGCATCATAGACAGTTGAGCTTAACTGAATTTCTGCTTCAGAGAATACAAAGTACCATTGTAAGATTTAAAATGTTTCCTATTTCCTGCCCTTTGCCAGTGTCTCTAACAAAGGCTCCCCATTTGGATCTTAAACTTCCTAAGTCATTATTATAATGTTTGTTGCAAAAGCTGATAACCATAAATTAACCAAGTTTTAAAATACTTTGCAAAGGAAATGTAAATGATCAGAGAAGCAATTGTTTCAAAAGGCATTTTTAGGCATGCAAAATTCATAGATTAATCTGAGAGGCTGTAAGTATATACAGTATATTTAACAACCACAAATTGTTCTCATGTGTATTATCTCATGAAACCCTGTCACTTCCATTTGAACGAGGGAACAGCACAGCATGGGCAAAGTAGCTCAGTTAGAAAAAATGACAG